TTCCTGCTGTGGCAGTAGCAACGTGTGGAGCATTTGATTATCCTTAGCCATTGGTGATGCTGGCGAGGACAGAAATATTCATGCTCTTTGTTTAACTGGAAATTAAGAGAATGCATCATTTGCTGACAAGAACTTTTACAAATGACAGCTGTCCCTTTGATCAGCTCCCAGACTAATAAATCCGTGGCAGTAACCAGTAACTTGGGAAATTTGATTTATGTCTCACACCTGCCAGTAGGTGTTTGCTGGGGGATGTTTTGTGTGGTTCCTGAAAAATCCCCCAGTAGGTGGAGGTATGCTGCATTCTTTCACTTGTGGAGGGATGCTGGGGGCTCTTACAAGGTTTGCTATGTGAGCTGGTAAAAATGACTTATGAGGGAAAGCCGGCTGTCCACCCACCAGACAGCAATTGCCTGCTGCTCTCCTGGTAGTTTTCCACCCACTTGTCTACGCCATGCCAGAGCTGTAGGCAGCTTCAGGCTGGCCCCAAACAGGGAATGTTTTCTCATGCAGGCAAGTGTTGGACAGGGGGCAGAAAGTTTGAGGGATTAGGAAAAGAGTAGGAAGGAGAGCGCTCCTGTTTGACTGTTGCAGCTGCCACAACAGACTTGAAACCTCATCAGTCACGTCCACAGGGCTGCTGAATTGCTCGGCCGGTCCCAGGGGTGGGATGCGCTGACCGCTCCGAACCCACAACACGTGTAGCTTAGCAACGGGGATCTTCCTGAGCTGTCAGGCTAAAAATAGAGCTGGGGAGCCTTGAACTCACAGGCTTCTGGGGTTACTGGAACTGCTACCCCCAGTGTGCCAGCTGGCCTGCGAGCGTCAAACCTTGGCTTCGCTCAGTGGGTGCTCGTCCACAGTGACGGGGCTGCAAATCCAACTGACTGGGCTTGGTTTCAGCATGGGTCTAGGGCATTTCCATATGGACCCATCTCAAATGGTCCCAAACATCCAGTGACTGTGGACATGCTACAGTGGTTAAGACAGTTGAAAGTGCATAGGGAGGGTCTCCTTTTGTTGCACTGCCTCACGCCTGCATAAATGACCCAAAACCTAAAGATTATCTGGTGATTTCCACGTGCCACAACAGATAGTCCGGGAGCATTTATTAACCCACTGGTGCTATTCTTATGCAAACAAGTGTAGCTCATCTCAGTAATAAAAAGTGATTTAATATCTGCCTTGGCTGCTGATAGCGACTTGGAAGGCTCTTGTTTTTGATTTTCAGCGCAGATCCCTTTTGCAGATAGACGCCCTAGACCCAGCCTCATTGTTATGTTTTTCCAGAACACACTGTCTGCTTTCAGCCTGGTTTGTTGGTGCAAAGCCACCTTCTGCTGTGCTTGTGTTTTTGGGGCGCAAGGAAGACTTTTAAACCTCAGAAGAGGTAGTGGAAAAGGGTTCAATTTCTTGAAGAAGATCTCATTGGGAAGGCCCGTTCCTGAGCAGCCTTCCTCTGTGCTTGCTCAGGGCTACATCTGAAAAGGCGCGAGCAGAGGAGCATAGCTGTGACTTTTGCCAGTGCCTGTCCCAAGGGAGGACTTGAGGTACAAAACGTTAGTGGGATACAAACTACGTGATTGCTGTGGTTCAAGAGGTTCAAATCCTTGTATTTAAGCTGTACCCAAACCCACCCCATCAGTGCAGCCTGTTCCTGCCTCCATGCAGCCAGCCTGGGCACAGGGCTCTGGGCTCCTTACACCTCCTCTTCCCTCCTCTCACTATCCTCGATGTCCCTCTCGTCCGCCTCTGCTTTCTGCTGATTTGGATATAGCACAATTTGCACTAGCACAGCCTGAACTTTGTTACCTCGGACTTCTTAGTGTGACTCCAGGCAGGAGGATCCTGGGAAAAGCCAGTGTATGAAGGATGCTCTGAAAAGGGTTACAGCCTACCTCTCATTTTTATCACCAGGTGAAGTATTTGTGCTATAAAATCCCAGATTCCACAGCTCCAGTAACAGCTGTAAAATCAAATGTAAAAATAACCCCTCGAGTGCAGCAATGTATAAATCATCTGTAGCACCGATATAGCACAGGCTCGT